AAAGTCATTATTATGGCTACATTTGTTGATGATAAAAGATACATACAGCAATATGCAGCAATTATGATCTTTTTGCTCATATTCCAAGTATATATAAAATATATCAGAAATAATGGGATATCATCGCTAATATTTTTAAGTTTCCTAGCATTAGCACTTTTTGAAAAAAAATATTGGCGATGATATCCTATAATTTCGGATAAATTTTATATAGTTTTGAAATATGAATCAAAAGGTATGTAATGTCCACAACGTATATGTAATGTCCACAACATTTTACAGTTAAAAAAACTCATAAAATCGAGGCTATAGAAATGAAACGTTATATGCTGAAATAGTTGTAACATCAATCTAACATAGGATCATTTCTCCTGTAGTGGAAAGTTAATATTTTTCAAATTGGTCATGGTCATGTGATAAGTGTAGGTGATAGCTAACTATCAATATCCAATAACGAAATTTATTCTTTTTGGCCTTTATGTTCTGTTTTTATTACATTTATTGTGGGTATTACATTTATGGTTGATTTTATTACATTTATGGTGGGTATTACATTTATGGGTGGTACAAGAGAAAGCATCATAAATTTGTTAATCATTAAAAAAATCGTTACTACGGAAAAGAAAAAAGGAAATTTTTGATTGGTGCATGATAAATCGTCACGCTGTTATACACGGTATGATTTAAGCAAGACACCTTTGACGGGGTATCATCTGGCACCGGCAGACCAAAGTTCAAATACCTAAACAATTAACGAGTTGTGTCTTTATTTTCCTTTGGAATTTTTCACTTTGTTAGTTTTCTTTTTGTGATGAAGTTTTGCCCACAAATTCTAGTATCCAAAAGTACTCATCATATAAGTTCCATCGGATGTGATTGATTCCTAGTGCTAGTGAATTATAGTGCTCCTGCAATCGGCGCTAAAATGACTTCTCTTGAGCAGGTTATGGTCTTGACCTTAAAGAATTGACACCTCTAAATCTAAAAGTTGAGGAATTAACTAAAGAATTCACTGATATTGGCAAGGCAGTTAAATTCATGTCGAACCAATATGATGAGATCCTTCAATAGTTTCAAACGCCAAAATTAACAAACATGACACCGATATACTAAAGGCAAAGCAAGACATCAAGCTTATTGATAAACGAGCATCAGAAGCACTTGACCAACTCGACGATCTTGGACAATATTTAAGAAGAGATTGCCTTGAGATTACGGGAATCAAAACAACAGAAACATGATCGTCCGAACACATAGTAGAAACGTTTGACGATGCCATAGGAATGGATATTCAGCCCGAAGACATTTCGATTGCACACTCGCTCCCTTCTCTTGACCCGGATTCACCACCTAAGATAATCGTCAAATTTACTCGAAGGAATACTCGAGATAAGTTCTACGCTGCCCGAAAGAACCTCGCCAATAAGAAAGTTTTAACTTTCTTAAAAGGATCTCCCGTACCTGAATCCTCCCAACTCCAGCGACAAGGTCTTCATATCGGAGTCTGTGACGCCAAAACGCAAAAAGCTATTCGGAGAAGCGAATCGACTGAAGAAAAACCTCAATTGGAAGTTCATCACAACGATAGAATATTCTTAAAGGATAACGAAAGGTCAAAAACTTTCTCTATCAACTCCGAAGATGACCTGGAAAAATTCAAAAATGAACACTCCTGCTCATAAAATGGAACTCAGTGAGTTTACTAACTCTATAATGGTAAGACAAATTAGAAGACAGTTATCTATATATCTATGTTTTATTTCTTTGAGAGAGTCATTTCTTTAAGTGGTAATGCAAGATAACTGGTTAGATGAAAACACTTTCTCAGTCTTGCCATTTTATAATTTAGACTACTAGGATTTTATTAGAACAACTGGTAGTTGGGTAAACGAATCATCTAATGATCTCTACTCCAAACCAGAGATCTATTTAAAGATATTATCATTGATCCTGAGAAGGAAAACGATTCTCAGGATTATCTGTTTGATAAGCCCATTGAATCTAAATACCAGTCAATAAAAAAATCTGGAAACCTGAAGCAGAAAAGCAACATGGATTTTCAATAGCTCACTTTAATATGCGCAGTCTTTCAAAAAACTCGCTGGAAGATTTATTTGTGTCCATAAAGTCTTTACCAGATATAATCGCTATTTCGAAAACTGAATTAACAGACCAATATAAAAATTCTTATTGACAAACTGCAAACTTATGGAATTCGGGGCCTACCCCTATCTTGGTTCCATTCTCTCAAACAGAAAACAATACTAGTAACAATAGACGGTATCGAATCCGACAAAGAAACAATTACCTACGGTATTCCCTAGGGAAGTGCTTTAGGACCCCTGCTATTTCTCATCTTAATCATATCCATTTTGAAATCACAAGTGAATCCTGCAATCTGATTGGTTCTTAACAGGTTGATTTCAGCCTAAATCGCACCATTTTTAATTCTTAATCGCACTCCTTTGAGGAGCCAATCACAATACAAAACAAGTAAAAGGCAACCAATCACAATACAGGATTGTGTGTGGTTAACCAATCAAACTACAGCAAAAAGGGCACACAAAAAGTACATTTTTAGGTTTTACAGCAAGTATTTTTATACCCTGGGAACCAGAGGCTGGATTTACTCGTTCTTGTAGTTTATATACGGCGCGAAGCGCCGTCCTTGAGGCCGAAGGCCGAACCGTAAACCAGCCTCTGGCGGCACGGATAGCGAATCTCACTTCCATGTCAGTGTTTACATTCAAGATCTGAATGTTGCAGCTGATTGGTCCGTTGATATCAGAGCGATATTATTGGTTGAAAATCAAAACCRGTTTTCAATCAGATACTCGACGAAGATTTACGATAAAGTTCTTTCACATTAGATAATTCTTTGTCCTAAAAGTTTTAGATTTTCGAGTTTTTTTAACTTCCGAGTGAAGGTGAGACATGTAGCTGCTCGCWATAAATTCAAAAGCAAATATTTTCTCTAAAAACGATCTTTTCTCTAGATGAATTGCAAGTCCCYTGTCTACAAATTCGAGAGGCTGCAGCTACACACTTTGCAGATTCGTAAAGTATTGCTTTAACGACATCTTCTGGGGATTTTGCTTAGTTTACATTTCTGTAAGAATTCTGATACACGACGGAGATCAGTGACCCGTAACATTTTACATTTTATTCTGACAACTTATCTTTCGTCGAGTATCTGATTGAAAACCGGTTTTGATTTTCAACCAATAATGTCGCTCTGATATCAACGGACCAATCAGCTGCAACATTCAGATCTTGAATGTAAACACTGACATGGAAGTGAGATTCGCTATCCGTGCCGCCAGAGGCTGGTTTACGGTTCGGCCTTCGGCCTCAAGGACGGCGCTTCGCGCCGTATATAAACTATAAGTACGAGTAAATCCAGCCTCTGGTTCCCAGGGTAGTATTTTTATGAAAATATATGTGCAAATTGGATTATTTTAGTTCTTACTTACAGTTTTAGATGACAATGTACTATCTCAGTGTAATTTTTCATCATTTGCTACTTGCTACGAAAGTGTAATTTACAGTCCAAAAATGTCAGAAATGTTCAACAAGGGATGCAAGTTCATGAAGCCCGTCTATGAATTAAGATTTCCAGGGCTTATAAATTATGCAGACATCCTTAGGCTTCAGGTCACTAATAAGAACAAAGACAGCAACAAAACTTTGGAAAATGTGGATGAATGTCCTCGTTCACGAGCCGCCATCTTGATTGTCAAGCAAGTAAAACTTTGACAACATTTTATGCCAGTTTTATGCTAGAGTAAGACTTCAAAAAGTCGACAACTACCAACCAGAAACAGTAAGACCGATACAAAGTTCCTTTGACCGCTCTTTGAAGGAGAAAGGCACCAACATAAGGTCTGTGAAGGCGAGGAAATTCTTAAAATCACATGGCATCGATCGTCTTCGCCGATGGCAGCTTTACGCAAATTTGTCGATAAACACGTTAAAATATCCATCTCAAAGACCCTGCAACAACTCTTTAATCTTCTTTGCGACAGGCGAAACAGACGGCCTCCATAATCTAATGATCTTATGAGGACTAAAAATGAAATAAAACTTGAACAAAATCTGCTCGTTTGAAATTTGTCAAGTTCGTCGTAGTTTTGCTCGAAGTGAAGTGAAATGACCTGTCAGTTTATGAATTGCAAATGAGATGTAAAAGACTTTCCGGTCAGGTTTTAAAAAGCGACAACTGTCTTTTTTATTAGGATTTCAAAATGGATATAATTAAGTGGTAATTGAGCTTCGTGCCGTGCAATTTTGGTCTGAAATCAAACTTGCAATTATAAATCGCACTCCCGCTTCGCGGTCGTGCGATTTTGTAATCGCGCGTTTGATTTCAGACCAAATTGAACTCCACTCAGTTCAATTACCATTATATAACAATGATCTACCAAACTGTTATAAAAAGTTGAATTTCAAAAAAAATTGCCGACGATACAAATGTTTTTGCTTCTGAGAAAAATCTTAAAACTCTAGAAAATATCATGAATTCGAACACTGAACTAGTAAAGGTTAAGGACTGGTGTGACACAAATAAATTAACCATAAATATGACTAAAACTAATTTCATGATAGTCAAATCTCCGCAAAAAAAGGATCCTGTTATTAATATTTAAGTCAATAACGGCAATTCTTCACACCCATTGGAAAGGAAAAGTCAAATTAAATACTTAGGTGTTATGCCCTGATGCCCTGAATTGGACGAATTAGGTATAAAACAACAAGAAAAACAAAAGAAAAAGACAACTGAATAGCAAACGAAATGCTTTAGTCTTTACTCTGGCGGAGGGATTAACATACGAGACGTCAGGAAGTTGTTTCACCTACTTTTTTACGGTGTTTTTTTTTCTGTTCTTTTTAGAAACAACGACGCAGCTCTTACTAGTTTATTCCCAAAATAATTTATATCAAATGAATAATTTTTTTTTGTATATCCACGCTGTTACAAAAAGAAAATCATTCCATTTTACCTTTTTGGTCTGCAATTCCTCGGCCAAACATCGCTAGGACAGCAACCAACAGTAAAGTGTACACAACACTCATGTTCTACGATTGCCTTGTAAATACTGTAAAAGAATGTTGGAGCTAGGAAATTCTTGACGTACTTTTCCCTGAAAGAAACAACCGATAGCTGTAGCATCCCCGGTGTTGTCAGGGATTTTGTTTGAATTTCAAATTGGTGAAGTCATATCATTGTTACGTGGAGATAGACACCAGTAATTACACGCAGAGACAACGCCCGAGGATTACTTCAGGTATTTCAGGTAATGTTATTGTTTATCATAATCGATTATAAGAGACCATTACTAAAAGCGTCCATCATGTAAATTGTTGTTTTTTTTTTTCAAATATTTCTTATAGACTTGTCTGTTTTTAGCTTTTTTCGACCAATGATATCACGAGAGCGCGAGAAATCAAAATAATTTAATAAAGAAGCATTGTGTGCCGTATTGAATTTCATTCTAGTTTCGTTGTGATCCTCGTATCAGTTTTAATTATCATCATTGCAATTTAATTGTTTCCAATTCGGCTTTCTTCAGCGACTAATACTACAATGACCAGTCTTCTTCAGTGGATATTAAGCCGATTAGCCTGGTAACCGCAAAACGCAGTCAAACAATAGCCGACTTGCGAATTTTGCCTCGGTAGTCACACATAAAGGATTCAAGACGAGTCGCCGTGCATAAAGCTCAGTCATTCGTGAAAAGACAATAGTTTTTCACGATTGACTGAGCTTTACGCACGGCGCCTCGCCTTGATTGTTTTGTGTTTGATTCAGTGCTGAAGCGAAATTCCCAAAATCGGCTATTGGTTTTTGATATTCTTCGTATTATCCCTCGGATTTCGTCCTTTATTGGAAACTAAGTTTATTTAACATATTTTAATTTTTTTCAATGAAAAAAAGCGCTAGAGGCATGAAGAAAGCTTCAAGGCAAGTAACAATTGTGTGATTTAATGCAAAAGAACATCGAAATATAACATTAAATTATACATTGTGAAACAATGGACGTCTTTTGTTTAACTTCGAGATAAATTAAGGTTTAGATATTCAATTACCCGTACCATTGACTAAACAGGTGTATCTAAGGTATCTCTTATAAATTAAGCTTTACTGAACTTAAACGATATGAATAAGTAAACAGAGAAATAGATGAATATTATTTTTTTAACACAAAGAAATTAAAACAATTTATGTTAAATTCAAATACTTATGAGTAGAAAAACGTTTTTTTTTGGATTTCGTGCAGCGTTGGGCAATACGAAATTGTCTCTTCTCATTGATCGATATGATAGTATAGGTAGGTAGGACACAACCCCGTGGGATGCTTAAAGCCGACTTCCGAGGTTGAGCAAACGCAGGAAAACCACGAAATAAAACCAAACTAAACACTAAAAAAGAGCTGTTTAAAGACCTTTAAAGCGGCAATTTGCTAGTATCAATGAACCAGAACGCAATCAAGAATAATCAAAAATGGTCTCATGTGGATTCATCTTCTTTGTGTTCCGGGTCATTATCTAATTGTAAAATATATTTTGTGGTAAAAAACAAATTATGATATAGTTTCTCTACTTCTCTACTTCTTACTACGGTTGTCGCCGTAAAAATTTGTTGCTCATCCACGAGACAAAGTCGTAGTAAATATATGAGGACAATCAACAAGAAACTCTCATAAATTTGTTTAATGTCGAATCGTGCGTAAAAAATCGTTACTACAGAGAAGTAAAAAGGAAAAGTGTTTATTGATGTAGGCTAAATCACGCTGATATACGTGTTATGATTTTAGCAAGACACTACTGAGTCTTTGATATCATCTGGTACCAGCAGATCAAAAGTTCCAATATCTATAAAACTTTAACCAGTCACTTTGCGTCCCGTGTTGTGTCTATATTTTCCTTTGTAATTTTTCCCTTTGTTTCTTTTTCTATTTGCGATGTATATAGCTGTTTCAAAAAAGGTTGTCGGATAAAATGGCGAATGTCAATGGTCGAACGGCGATTGCACGACCGAAAGTAGCCATGGGTTTTGCTAGTTGAAAGGCAAGAACAACTGATTTGTACTGTAAGATGGTCTGTGTTAAACATTGGCTCCTTTTAGTCTCCATTTCTATGTAAGGCTAATCCAATAAGTGAACTTTTGTTTATCAAAACAGTGTAACCATAGTCCCTTTCGGTCGTGCAATCTCCCTTCGACAATCGCCGTTCRCCGTTCTCCCCGACAACGTTTTTTGAAATAGCTGTATTTTGGTATCCAAAAATACCCGTGATATATATTCTATCAGATGTGATTGTAATTGATTCCTAAAAAAACACTATCAAAACTCAATCAAAACTTTAGTCCTGAACAAAAAGAAAAAGATATTATAAATGATATATTATTTCGCCAAGAATAGGCATACAACAACAACAAGAAAAACAAAAGAAAAAGATAACTGAAAAGCAAGTTAGCAACAAATGATTTTATAGTCTTTACTCCGACGAAGGATTAACTTCCGAAAGGTGTTGTTTCATCTACTTTTCAGTCTACGGTGTTAATAAACACCGACACAGCTCATAGTAGTTTACCGCTAGTTTCAACCAATATTTTTTATATGATATGAACAATATTTTGTTGCACACCCACGCTGTTACAAAACCAAAATCATCCTATATTACCTTGTTGATCTGCAATTCCTCGGCCAAAGATCGCTAAATTGGCAACCAACAGTAGCATAACACTCATCTTCTGCGATTGCTTTATAAATACTGTAACTTCACCCTGAAAGAAACAACCGATAGATGTTGCATCTCAAGTATTATCAGGGGTTTTGTTTGAATTTCAAAGTGCGCGTACGTTATAACATCGTTACGTGAAGAGAGAGACCAGTAATCACACGCAGAGACAACGTCCCAGGATTACTTCTACAGCTGAATATGTATTTTCAGTAAACTGAATAAAGCACACTTATTGTTTACTATATAATCAATCATAGGAGGACTCATAGGAGACAATTACTAGGAGTGTCCATCATGTCTATTGGTTTTTGTCGTGGGGCTTTTATAGACGTTTCTGTTTTTTCGACCAATAAGTATAGTCACGATAAATTACGCGAGCGCGGGAAATCAACGGAAAACCAAAAATAATGTAATCAAGAAACATCATGGATCAGTATTGAAATCGAATATCCTTCTAGTTTCTTTCTGATCCTCTTATCAGTTTAATTAACATCATTGAAATTTCATAGTTTCCGATTCTGTTTTCTCTAAATGACTCATGACTAACACCACCGTGACCAGTCTTCTGCTGTGCATCTTAAGTCGATTACACAGCGAGGTCGGAAATTAATTTTTCCGAATTTATTCCTAAGGGACTTCTCCCGGAATTGCCTCCTTCTAAGCACTATAACTTTCTTTCATTTCTATATYDTGTTWATCWYAGTGCCATGCGGTCTTCATATTCATATCTTTACATTAAGTCGATTAGCCTGGTACCCGTGGATTCCACGTATTTCAAGTTCATCTCACTGGTTGACCGTTCTTTTGATTTATGAGTTGGACTTTTGTAACTTAGTGTAGCTAATATTTTCCATTGGATTCCATGAACTCTTCATCCCATCATTTTATCGGCTACCGATGTTTTTAAGTCCCTGTTTACTTAGATAGTGTGACATAAGGTAGTAGAGACAAACTCTTAATTTCTTAACCTTAAATGAATCAACAAGGGTTCTGGTACTATAAAGGCTTCTGAGTGTGATAGGGAAATGAAGCCTCGCGATGCCTAATGTCCATATAAGCATCTCAGTCTTCCCAAATACGGTTTGCTTTGTTGTTAATTCTCTTGAGGAAACTATATAATGCAAAATTTTTTTCAGCAATGTTTAAGTCCCGTTTACACTTGCGATTTTTGCCGCACGATAATTGCCACTTTGCTATCGCGCAACTATATATAATATCATGTGTAAACAGCCCTGCGATTGCTAAGGCGATGGAAAATCGCCGCGAAGTTGCAGCCAATTTTAAAGCATGTTCGAAACTCAGGCGATGGTCACCCGACGATCGCCGCGAGAATCGCAAGTCAAGTGTAAACGGGCCTTAAGCCATCTCATACTGTGTTCCTCTTCATAATCCATGTTGATAGTCTTCACTTTAATCCAACTGGAATATATAGTCTATCATTGGTTTTACCAACATCACAATGGATTTTTTCTTATTTCGCATTGTCATAAACCAGATCTTGAAACAATCTTGAACTGCTCTTTAGTGACGACTATTTATTTTTTATTTTTTTATCTTTTTATCTTACATATATAGGACAAGTCTTCGATTAGAACAAGGAAGGACAACTCCATAGTGTTATTTCAGTAGTCCAGTAGCCATCATCGTTTGTGATTGTTCCCTTAGACTAAGTCTCTTATTGTATTTTCATACATTGTTCAATCAATCATGACATTCGTTTGTCGCAGACTTCATTTCATTTTCCATGTATAACATCATCACGATAGTGATCTATAGTCATTTAGCAGCTCCTTTAATCGGAAGCAAGTCCTCCTTATGTATCATGGATACCATAACATAAGGTGACTTGATATACGTGGTGTGCGTACAGTTTGGCATTGTTAACATATTTTGATTGACATTTATATTTCTATACATTTAGCTTCAGCTGCTCTTCAATGCATAAAACAGCATAACAAAATTGTGAAGCAACATGTTTCTGAGATAATTCAGATCTATGTAGTCTTCGACGTGTGAAAATATCTACTGATGAAACTCCTGCATGTACAATCGACAAATGGTTATTATTACCGCGAACGAGCCTGCTCACAAGGCATATAACATATAAATTGCGTTCTGGCAATAGTATTCAATCCATTCACTGTTTACGCATGCTCATACCTGTCCCACATGGTTCAGTGCCTCTTTAAAAATCTCAAAAACGTGTTTGGTGTTCGTATTTTTGGTAATTTCTCAATTCCATCAATAATCGGTTTGCATCAGCATTAACCTGGTCTGACTGGAAAAGCAGCAGTGGTCTCTAACAGAGTCCTACACGGACTTGCGAATATTCACATGGATTATAATTACTTGAAATCTTAC